ATAACAATGTATTAACTGCAAAATTGCTGTAGTAACACAATATTATCAATAAAATTACCAAGAATGGTTTTTGCTTATAAAAAAAAAAAAAAAAAAAAAAAAAAAAAAAAAAAAAAAAACAGATATAGAAATAGTAAACTAAAAAGATATAACTAGTTTAAAAAATAATTTAGAAGTATTTCTTAAACTGTCTAGCATCTAAATTTGAATGCTAAAATACTTTTTAACTTATTTTTATTTAATTACACAAAAACTTCTTTTTTTATTTTTTTATTTATTTTTTTATTTTTAAGGTGGCTTACATTACTAAGCGATTTTTATTAGTTTAATATATAAGATTATATATGGGTAATCTCTACAATTTGTAATTACATAAAGAATATACAACAAGCTACTCGTATAATTTTAGTCATTATCTAATTTAAGTAGTTTGCTACACAGGTGATAGACCATCTGATTAGTTCTATACTATGCTACTATACCTGTAACCTACCTGTGAGTTACTTATTTAAACATTTTATTCAACTAACCTATACTATTACAAACTAATATTACTATAACATCTAACTGCTTAAACTAGCTAGCTCATTACAGATCCATTTTTTAACTTCAGCTTAGGTTTTCTTGAGATACTTATTGCTCAATATATTGTAAGCTCACAGAGCTCTAGTTAACCTTGAAGCATACCTATTAGAGCAGTTTGTACTCATTTCATAAATTCATCTAGCTTAGACCTTTGTAGATGTTCATACAACCTTAGTTCCTACTGTAGCTCTCCACCAGTTTTCTGTTTGCTGATTTCTTTAGATATTTCATGAAGTAGATTCTTTCAATCTAGTTAGCCGCTAAACTAAGTTGGTGTTGCCAATTCTCCTTGTAAAATAGATTTACTCACATCTCTCTTGATCTATATTTTCAGAGCATAGTTTCTTTTCTGAATCAAGTATTAGCTGATATGACTATTGAAAGCTATACTTCTTCACCTACTCAAGATTTCTACTATGCAGGTCCTCTGCCTATAGATCCTATTAAAATTTATTCATGTAATATTACATCTCTTCAAATATTTTGTCATACTTCTAATATTTGAATGATATTGGTATAACGTGATTTACAGAGTTATAACTCTAGAAACAAATAAGGTTTACCGTAAGTTGAATACAAAGATCTGAGTAATTATTTAAATTTGTTAACAGTGGAATTTGAACCCTAAACCTCTTACATGGCAGTTTAGCAACCTAACTACTACACTAAGATCACTAGACCCTAATTACACAAAAACTTTCTAAGCTTGACTCTCTTTATTTACTAATAAAAATTAAAGTACTTACCTTTTTAAATATTATTTTAAAATTTTATTACTTTTTTTTAATTTTGACAAAGATATTTAATTTTTTCTAAACTTTATTTTTTAAATTTACTATTAAAATTTTTTAAACTCTCTTAAAATTTTATATATTTTCAAAGAGAAAATTTTGTTTTCACTTCTAATTAAAGTCAAAATTTTGCTTATAAAATTATAAAAAGTATAATAAAAAAGTTGTTTATTTTTTTGTATTTTACAACTTTTTATTAAAGTAGTAGAGGATCTAATCTTAAGCTTATACTAAGTAAAATAACAAAAAAAGAAAAAAATTTTAAAAATTAAAAAATTTTATTTTATAAGTAACTTAAAATTTTTTATAAGAATTAGAAAGATTAAAATAATTTTTAAATAATATATATTTATAGTTTTTATTTAAAAAAAATTTTATTTAAATATTTTAATTTTTAAAAAAAGTAGATCAGACATGAATTTTTAAAATTTTAGCGTTCAAATTTGGCTGCTAAACTGAATGGTTTAAGGGATATAAAATTTAAATTATCAAGTAACTAACTTACTTTTATATCTAGTTCTCAATATATAATTATAAGATCAGACATAATTTAAAATCAAAACAATCTATTTTATTTATTACTTTAGAGTTAGAATCATAGTTAGGTTAAGGTTAAAGTTAGAGCAATAGTATAAAAAGGTTTTATACCAAAATTTAGCAAGAAATTTTTTTAATTAGAATACCAAAAGCAGTTTAATATACAAAATTTTAAGTTATTTTCTGTTTTTTAAAAATTGCAACAATTTCATATTACATCTGATCTTTTATTTTAATTAGCTATATTACTATAGTGCTATAATGCTATAGTACTACAAATTAAATCCCATTAAATATTATTATTTTCATAACAATATATTGATTATTTTCATATTATAATGCAATTATTTTAATAATAAATTACAATTATTTTTATAATTAAATAATATTACTTTTATAATAAAATACTATTATTTTTATAATAAAATGCTGAAAAATATATATTATTATTATAATTATTCTATTAATTAAATTAAATAATTGCTAAAATTTACTAATATTATTAAAAATTTAGTAGTTACAAAGTACATTATCATTACTATTAAGTGGAGTAATATTACTAAAAATTTAGGTAAAAATTAGCTATTTTTTACCAAATCTAAATTTTGAAAATTTGGTAAAGAAACTATATAAAGGACGTTACAACAACTTAGGTTGGTAACGATTCTTATGTGCGAGGTAGGGGCACATAAGGCTGATCATAATTATTGAATTCCACTTCCCAAATCACCAACGTCACGCCTCTGTCGAGGAGCTTAAAGAAAGTATACGAATTACCCGTAACACTTGGTGGTGACCTACAATTCCGCCCGTCAATTTGGTGGTGACGACTGAACAGTCTGTAACAATGTCCATGAAACACTGCTTTATAGTATATTAGTCTTTGTCTTTAATAAACCAACTCTGAGACATAGAAGATTTTATATATAACGATCCAATGCTTGAAATAATCTATACGTACTCAAGTAATTGTGTCTCAATTTGATAAAAACGTATGATATGTATTTATTTTATAATATCAAATAACATATAAGCATAAATAAAAATAGAATTAGGGCGATATATATAATTATTATATATTTTTGATCCACCTAAAAATATTACCTAATATAAGTTAATAATATATTAAAAGATTATTGATCTAAATTATGCATAGATCATCGTAAACTACAGATTTCTTAATTAATATTTAGCTATATATCTAAATATACCGATACAGATAGTTAAATTCAGGCTTCAATCTTTTGTGAAACAAATTTATGCATAGTTGTACGAGTTCTATATGCATTAGCTTCTTTAAGAAGTTTTCTTAACATTTCATCAAAATCTTCTTTTTTTACAGAAAATTTTAAAACTGAGCGAAATGCATAGTCAGTATATGATTCAAACGCGTAATTCAGATGATTACTCCAGGATCCAAGAACAAATGGTTTTTCATCATGATTAATACTTTTAAACTTATTGGTATCTTTCATAAATTCTTCCATTCTATTAACGATAGCCGGATTTACATTTTTTGTGTTAAGGTAATTAAAAACTAATCGTATTTGATAAAAATAACAATATGGATTAAAAATATTATAAAGAATATAAAGTTTAAATTGTTATGAAACATTAATATCGCTTACATTTTGTTACCACTTGATTCAATAAAGGACCGCTACTAATTAAATCTAGTGCCGCTTCAGTTATCTATTAAAACAGTAAAAAAGGGACAGTAAGTTGATAAGTAAACAAGTATTAAAAAGTTACAAAGTTTACCTCAAAATAACCTCCAGGTTTTACAACTCGAGCACATTCACTAATTAAAACAGGCCATTTGTTTTCCTGTAAGTCATAAACCATATTTCGGAGGAAGACGAAGTCGAATGAACCGTCACAAAATGGAAGACCGTCATAAATATTTGCCGTAACAAACTCCACATTGCTAGGTTTATTCTTAGTAAAAAGTTGGGGCGTTAAGTCCACCCCAACATAATAGTTATTTGGAAAGTCGGAAGACATTTCAAAAAGCCATATTCCAAAACCACAGCTATAAAAAGAATATTAGTAAACAATTGGTTTCTATGAAGATAATGGAATAAATCTTAATATTATTATACCCGACATCTAACACTCTCATTCCACCAGATTTTAACTCATTCTTAATAGGAGATAAGAAATTTGCTTTAAAGATTTCCCTCAAAATATTATGTCGTAACGCAACAATTTCTTGCTCACGGTCATATTTTTTAGCTTTACCGGTAATTGAGAAAATATATTGAGAATTGGAATCGAAACCTTTGTTTCCTCGAGATTTAGAGAGAGTAATTCCCATTTTTATGTATGAGAGTGAGTTATACGTGTAATAATTCTAATTATGAATAATAAAATTAGTTAATAAAATTTTAAGCTAATTTTGAATGTTTCACTATTTAATCAAAATAACTATAAAATATTGGTACGTACGATAATATATTTACACACATTAAATTTATTTAGTATTACGTACGAATTTCCTGGTTTACTTAAATTTATCCGGTTGACTTTTTAGGGAAATGACAATTATTTAGGTTATAAGAAGTTTTTTCGAATTATTTAAAGTTACTTTATGGGTTTATTTCACTGCCTGAGTATACAAGGCACAATTTGGAACGGAATTAGTCTTATCACCAGGTAAACTTATATTTTGACTACTTTAAAAGATAAATAATACTGTATCAAGCATGTACGTATACACACAAACGTACGCACGTATATAATAATTATTTTATTAAAGATTGATGTAATATAGTATAGGTGGGTATAGTCACATGTATATATATTAAAAGCTACGTATATACTATATATTATATCCAATAAAGATAATTTAACACCTTATGTGTCACAATGTGGCAAATTTTATATTTTTGTACAAATTAATGATTAATTAAAATTGCATCCAAAGAATCTAAAGTAATAAAAATCGAATTCATCTTGTGCTTCAATCCATAATAAGAATTTCATAATCTAAGAAAAAAAAAGGTCGTCACTTCATTGGATCTGGTATTAGTCGGAATTCGAATAAAAGAATTATAATTTCAATGAATAAAAACATGGAGCTATTTTTTTCATAGAGTTTGCTCTGATTGACACAATGAATTTTTAACATATCGTTACCATTTAATAATAATAACCGCTTCAATTAATGGCAATGATTGAGTAACGTCTCAGACCACTTTCAAATCACATTGACAAAATTACTATAAGAATTATTTGTAATGCTTGTGCACGATCTCGATCTCATTGACCAACTTGATTCTGTGTTTTACATTACCTCCCTCCCTCCTTCCCTCAGCGTCCCCCTCTCCCTCATAGTAAAAAAATTTATATAAATGAGGGAGGGTGTCAGTAGAAACCAAGCATCTTGTTTCTAAGTAAATTTTTTTCAGACTTTAAATTCTATTTAGTTATATAATTAAAATAAAATAAAAATTCATCAAGTTTGGTTTAATAGTTGTCAAGATATTTTAATTTAAAGTTTTAAAAAAACTTACTAAATACAAGATGCTTGGTTTCTACTGACACCCCCAAATATACATAGGACTACGGGATATTTCGGAAACATTTATATAGTGTCACACTCGGAAACGGCTCAATTAGTGTGATCTTCGTGTCACGTAACTCAACAACCTTACGCTTAGATTTATCGAGTGGAGATATAAGACTTGGTTATTGTTCCGGACTCTAGTCACGTGGCAGGTCTTCTTTCATTATTGAGTCTTTAACTTCCCTTAATCAACTTAAACTGACCTATCCTCTATCTTTTGGATAGTCAAACACAAGATTAAGCGGCAAGTTCTCTTTATTCAACAATAATACGACGATTACTCCATTACAAAGAGTAAATTGGGCAGCGTAACGTTATCGGATTATTCAATTAGCGAGTATGAAAATCTTTACACGTAGTAAATGATCGGGTAAGTGGTTTTAGCGATTTATATTTTGGGAAATTATGTGTTAGGGACAGAACATTTAATTATTCAGAACGAGAACTTATTTTGTGTCAAGAGCTCGAAATTGAGCAGAGAGGCGAAATGCCTTTTATTTATATTTTAATTTTACCCCTTCATTCCTTTTTTTTTTTTTTTTTTGTAAAGAAAAAATTTTAAAGTTTCAAAAGATTGCAGAAACTATAAAAATACTACGGAAACCTTGCAGAATTTATCAATTTGATGCGCAAAAAAATTTACAAACGGAATTATCACCGCAGAAAATCATCGGTCCTGGTACGTATGTGTCAGGGACCACGAAAAATTAGAGTGTACCATATCATAATTAATCAAAACTATGTTAACAAATTTGTAAATCCGCTAAGTGCAGATTTTTTGATGTTACACTAA